TGATGTAGAAGAGACATGAAGAGAGGGGACACATGTTGATGTAGAAGAGACATGAAGAAGAGGGGACACATGTTGATGTAGAAGAGACATGAAGAAGAGGGACACATGTTGATGTAGAAGAGACATGAGAAGAGGGACACATGTTGATGTAGAAGAGACATGAAGAAGAGGGGACACAGTTGATGTAGAAGAGACATGAAGAAGAGGGACACATGTTGATGAAGAAGAGACATGAAGAAGAGGGACACATGTTGATGTAGAAGAGACATGAAGAAGAGGGGACACATGTTGATGAAGAAGAGACATGAAGAAGAGGGGACACATGTTTATGAGAAGAGACATGAAGAAGAGGGGACACATGTTGATGAAGAAGAGACATGAAGAAGAGGGGATACATGTTGATGAAGAAGAGACATGAATAAGAGGGGACACATGTTGATGAGAAGAGACATGAAGAGAGGGGACCACATGTTGATGTAGAAGAGACATGAAGAAGAGGGGACACATGTTATGAGAAGAGACATGAAGAAGAGGGGACACATGTTGATGTAGAAAGACATGAAGAAGAGGGGATACCTGTTGATGAAGAAGAGACATGAAGAAGAGGGGGACACATGTTTGATGTAAAGAGACATGAAGAAGAGGGGACACATGTTGATGTAGAAGAGACATGAAGAAGAGGGCACATGTTGATGAAGAGAAGACATGGAAGAGGGGACACATGTTGATGTAGAAGAGACATGAAGAAGAGGGGATACATGTTGATGAAGAAGAGACTGAAGAAGAGGGGACCATGTTGATGTAGAAGAGACATGAAGAAGAGGGACACATGTTGATGTAGAAGAGACATGAAGAAGAGGGGACACATGTTGATGTAGAAGAGACATGAAGAAGAGGGGACACATGTTGATGTAGAAGAGACATGAAGAAGAGGGGATACATTATGAAGAAGAGACATGAAGAAGAGGGGACACATGTTGATGTAGAAGAGACATGAAGAAGGGGGGACACATGTTGATGTAGAAGAGACATGAAGAAGAGGGGGACACATGTTGATGTAGAAGAGACATGAAGAAGAGGGGGACACATTTTGATGAGAAGAGACATGAAGAAGAGGGGACACATGTTGATGTAGAAGAGACATGAAGAAGAGGGGACACATGTTGATGTAGAAGAGACATGAAGAAGAGGGGACACATGTTGATGTAGAAGAGACATGAAAGAAGAGGGGACACATGTTGATGTAGAAGAGACATGAAGAAGAGGGGACACATGTTGATGTAGAAGAGACATGAAGAAGAGGGGACACATGTTGATGAAGAAGAGACTGAAGAAGAGGGGACACATGTTGATGTAGAAGAGACATGTTGATGTAGAAGAGACATGAAGAAGAGGGGGACACATGCTGATGAAGAAGAGACATGAAGAAGAGGGGACACATGTTGATGTAGAAGAGACATGTTGATGTAGAAGAGACATGAAGAAGAGGGGACACATGTTTGATGTAGAAGAGACATGAAGAAGAGGGGGACACATGCTGATGAAGAAGAGACATGAAGAAGAGGGGATACATGTTGAATGAAGAAGAGACATGAAGAAGAGGGGACACATGTTGATGTAGAAGAGACATGTTGATGTAGAAGAGACATGAAGAAGAGGGGACACATGCTGATGAAGAAGAGACATGAAGAAGAGGGGACACATGCTGATGTAGAAGAGACATGAAGAAGAGGGGACACATGCTGATGTAGAAGAGACATGAAGAAGAGGGGACACATGCTGATGAAGAAGAGACATGAAGAAGAGGGGATACATGTTGATGAAGAAGAGACATGAAGAAGAGGGGACACATGTTGATGTAGAAGAGACATGTTGATGTAGAAGAGACATGAAGAAGAGGGGACACATGCTGATGAAGAAGAGACATGAAGAAGTGGATTTTGCATAATAGGTGACCTAATGTCCCGATGTGACTATTAACATTTGACTTTATTATTTATTAATTATATGACACGTGTAGATACATGTTCTTTTAACAACAAATGAAGTCTCTCCTGATTGGATTAGAGTAAACTGTTGCTCCGCTCTGTTAGCGAGTTATGATGCTAACACAGAACAAGCACACACAGAAAAGCCAGTTGTTACAGATGTTACTTTTATTTAGATCTCCAGACACATATTTCTGTTACAACTGTCGTAGCGCTGTTACAGTTTACAAATATATCAGCAAATGTACATCCTCTCTTTCACCTTTATCCTCCACTCGTTTCTCTTTCCTCCACATCGACTTAGAGTGTAAAGCCCCGCTAGTCGCACACAGATAGATGTAAGTGGGTCTTGGGATTTAAAGTTTGTCCTGAAGGTGGCGCTAGAGCAGTGGTTACCGAATATTTTGCTTAAATAATTACATAATTGCCTTTCAATTATTGCTTTCAGAATGACTCTGTAAATGTAAATGGATCTGTTGTAGAATCCGCAAAATGTCCTTGTGGCGTCCCTCAGGGATTCGTTGTTGGGCCACTTTTATTTTTCTTTAATTTCAAGAATTACTGCTAATTTGTCTTTTTAACTTGTTTCTTTTATATAATAAGTTGTTGTTATGAATACTCTGAGCTAGATGGGCATTTATAATTGGTTTAAATTGAACAGACCTCCTTTAAAAATGGATAAATCTCATTCAAAATTAGGACAACATGTTGGTTTTCAGACCACACAGGAATAGCGTGTTTTATGGACACACTTATGCACTAAACAAAGCAAAAGCAATAACAGAAGTACAATATTTAAGACACAGTAAAAGTGTTGGACATCCCTTTTGCTAGCGGGGCTATCATCATCATCATCACCATCATCATCATCATCATCACTCTTCCTCCTCTGTAAGAAAGAACGTTAAAGTAAGGCCACACCATCGTCACAGAAACTGATCTCTCTCACTCCAGCTTGTTGCTGATATTCCACATCCTGGTATCTTCTATGAAAACCCTAACACACACACACACACACACACACACACACACACACACACACACACACACACACACACACACACACACACACACATTATGGAAGCAAAGAAAGGACCTAATTATATCCATGTTGTCAGCTGGTAATGTGACATTTAAATTCATAATTTAAAACAAAGCAGCAAAGACAAGTGAACGTTAACTATGTCGGTTAATGTCCTCTTATCTGACTCAAAAATGCAAATCTGATATCTGACAAAATGAATTTATTAGGTGGTCAAAGCTCCATGATATAAACAAACAGACAAATATATGCAGACTTCTAAGGAAGAAAATCATATTTCCCATCGTGCAAATCAAAACTGATTTAATTGACCCTATCATGAACAATGTGTTGTAACGGTAGCCAATGCAGTGTTCATTTCCTCACGAAAACTATAACGAAAAATGTTCATCAACGACCTTTTTTACACGACTAAGACGGGACGATGACGAGCTAAAAATGGATTCTTGATAATAAAAACTAAGACGATTCGTTGACGAGCCGAGATGGGACTAAGGTGTTAATGGTGGACTATCGGACATTCAAATGCAGGTATTTTGTCAAAATGCAGTTGACTAAAATGTAATGATTTTCATCGACTAAAACTAGACTAAAACTATGAAGGATAAAAAGGACTAAAATGTGACTAAAACTAATAACCATTTTCGTCTAAAGACTAAATCAAAAATAGCTGCCAAAATGAACACTGAGCCAATGGGAGCGCGAGTGTAACATAGTGATGTCACCATGTTCTGGTAATAAACTAGTCCAATATTTTTTTTAACTTTGAAAATATGACTTATTTTTAGATATCATAACCTCCATGAGATCCGTAATATGCATTTTGTGAGACATGTAACTTATAAGGTGCATTTTAAGCACATTTCATGATAAGATTTCCCAGGTTGTTTTTAGTTGCTTTCCTCCTTTCTTTGCTGCCATTCACACTGACCATCCTCACACAGATACACACACACACTCACGTAAAGGAAGACACACAGACTTGCGCTCACACAACTATACATTTACAGAATGTGAAATACACACTCTTCCATTGAGATTATTATTCTTTTTTTCTTCATATTTCACATTAAATGACGTTTTTACAGAATGTCGTCACGAAATAAGACCCGCAAAAAGCACACTGGTGTACAGCATGAGTGTGTGTCCGTGTTGGGACCCTGTTTGCCCGCTAACAATGTGTGTGTGTGTGTGTGTGTGTGTGTATGTGTGTGTGTGTGTGTGTGTGTGGTTGTGTGTGTGTGTGGTTGTGTGTGTGTGTGTGTCTGTGTGTAGAATAGATTTGTTGTCCAGGGGAGTGATAAATTGAGCTGACACACACCGAGGAAGATCCACCCCATCTGTCCAGCTTTCTCCACTTCTTCAGATTTGTTGTCAGTGTGTGCGCGTGTGTGTGTGTGTATTGTGTATGTGTGTGTGTGTGTGTATTGTGTATGTGTGTGTATGTGTGTGTGTGTGTGTGTGTTGTTCCTGTGTTTTCAGTCCAGCTGTCTCCGATCCAATAAACCAGAGAGGGTGAGACGAGAGTCCAAAATCCCAAAAGTCTCTCACTCACAAAGTCCACTTTCTTCTTCTTCTCCTCCATCCTGTGTGTGTGTGTGTGTGTGTGTGTGTGTGTGTGTGTGTGTGGTGTGTGGTGTGTGTGTGTGTGTGGTGTGTGTTTGTGTGTGTGTGTGTGTGTGTGTGTGTGTAATGTTGTGTGTGTGTGTGTGTGTGTGTGTGTGTGTGTATGTTGTGTGTTGTGTGGTGTCTGTGTGTGTGTGTGTGTGTATGTTTGTGTGTGTGTGTGTGTTGTGTGTGTGTGTGTGTGTGTGTTGTGTGTGTGTGTGTGTAGAGATAAGCTCTCTCCCTCGTCGTAGATGTTTGTCATTGACCATTTTCCTTCTCCGGGTCTTTTACATTTTTCAAGAGCGTGTGTGTGTGGTTTGTAATTGTGTGTGTGTGTGTGTGTGTGTGTGTGTGTGTGTGTGTGTGTGTTGTGTGTGTGTGTGTGTGTGAACAGTATGCATGTGTAAGTTTACGAGACGAGGAGCAGGGACACACACACAGTCACAGAGAGGAAGAGGAAGAGGAGGAGGTGAGGAAGAGGAGGAGTTGAGGTCCGGCTGCTGATCTTCGCTCCTGCAGAATCCTGAGAGTCCATCGACTCCTGAGCGAGCAGCGCCTGTTCAAACAGACACAACTTTATTATCAACCAACAGCAGGGACAGAGTTAAATTTAATCAAATGTAATTAAATTCTATTAAATACAGAATCAAATGTAATTAAATTAAATAACACAATTAGAAAAAATAGAAATATTTATATAAAGTAATATAAAATAACAAAATATTCATGTAAGCATAACAACTTAAAGTAAACATATGCAATATTGGGATTAAATCAAATGGAAAATAAAAACAAATCACATAAATATAAGATGTTAGTGGCGTGTCAAATGATCATATAATCCTTTATAATCATATATACAGTAGATATGAGATATACTCTCATTGGTACTTAACTCCGTTAAATGCATTTTTAGTCTCTGTTCAGGTTGGCATAAGGTGGATTTGTAAATGGTTAAGGACTGGGGGGTGTTATGGGTTCATGGTGGGAAGACAGAATGTAATGAAAGTGTGTGTCCGACAGTCAGCTGTTCCATGACTTCCGTCGACGCTCTGAGTTCACATATTTTAGAATAATATGTTCCCTTCCCACTCGCTCGTCACTGTGTGTGTGTGTGTGTGTGTGTGTGTGGTGTGTGTGTGTGTGTGTTGTGTGTGTGTGTGTGTGTGTGTTGTGTGTGTGTGTGTGTGTGTGAGTGTGACAGTGTGTGTGTGTGTGTGTGTGGTTGTGTGACAGTGTGTGTGACCAGTGTGTGTGATGGTGACAGTGTGTGATTAATCAGGTGTTAATGAGACAGAATCCTCAGGAGGTGACCCGTGTTAACAAGTCCCAGTTAAGTAGCTGAGACACGCAGAGGTGTGAGGACGTGTTAGAAAGATACTCAGAGATCAGCAGCACCATGTGAGAGAGAGTGAGTGGTCCTCACCTCTTCACACTCAAACTCGTCAGAGGGGATGCACTTTTGTCCTCCGTCCTGTAAGAGAAGAACTCAGCGTCATATGAACATAAAATAAATCGTATAAAATAATAATGTCTCTGCAGAACCAGCACGACAAACAGTTCAATCCCAGCTGCAACCATCATTAAAATGGCACAGCAGTAATGTCAGCGTAAACCCACACGCACGCACGCACGCACGCACGCACGCACGCACGCACGCACGCACGCACGCACGCACGCACGCATGCACGCACGCACGCACGCACGCACGCACGCACGCACGCACGCACACACACACACACACACGCCTCATTATCTGCATTTCCCATCAGCCTCTTTGTCAGCGCCTCATTAGCATATCTCCTCCCGTACCTGGGCGGCAGAGCCAATCAGATGCTATCTCTCGCTGAGGGAGGAAAAGTCTCTTCAGAGAGAGATAAACCATAATGGAGAGCATCATTATCAGCGCTGATGATACACACCGTCACGGGGGGTGAAGGCGCTCATTATCAAACTGTGATTGCCTGCAGACGGCAATGATAGCTGTATATAAATATGTATAATTATATATACATATTGTATATCAGCCGTATTCATGGCTGTGGGGAAGCGATATGATTCAAGAGACACCAGATTGCGTCCTGAGGGACTCTGCTGGGAACTCTTTTATTCCACGTCTCAGTATCTGCCCGCTCACCGGGGATCCATTTCTTACTGGAAATGAACAATATTCCAGTTTTTACAAATGTCCTCATAGTGCTGACAGACAGCAGTTTGCACACATTACTGGCAACAAGATTCAATATAGGGGGGGGCAAGGGGGGGGGGGGGGGGGGGGGGGGGGTTGTTCTTGTCTTGTGTTGTTTTTGTTATTTGTTGGTTTTGTTATTTTTAGTTTTGGTTCTTGTTTGTTTTTTTTGTTTTATTCTTTGTGATCGTTGGGTGTGGTGGTTGGTTTGAGGTGTTGGTTTTTTGTATGTTGTCAACAGGCACAAACGGCTCACCTTCAACCTGAGTCTGCTATTTTTTCGAACATCAGCGTACTTTTCATACACTATTTTTTCACTAAAATTACAAAAATACGGGCTCAAATCTATGACCACTGCAACATGTCAAATCTTGCCAAGTATATTTGTCTAATTTCTAGTCAGAATATGTCGTTACACTTGATAAAGACTTAATAACCTAAGTCTTGTTTTTAGACGAGGCATCTGACCGCATCTTTTTGAATCAAAGTCTCTTAAAAACATCTTCTTTTAGAGGAAATCTCCACTAACATCAGAGAACAGAAAGAGTCTGAAGCATTTCTGGCTTTTTTTGTTACAGATTCCCTGATTCTGGTCAAATATAGTTCAAAATGAGTTCCAGCTAAATACAAGATCTCATTTCTCTAATTATCCATCTTTCCTTCAAGAAATCTCACCAAGACATTTTGTACTTGTTCTATCGGCAGATCTGTTCACTTATTAAAAGCCAAAACACCATGTTGTTATTATATATTTAGTTGTTTTGGAGCAGCATTTTTCCAGTGTGAGCGGCACAAAAGAGAAGCATCAAAACCGAGGGGGGGGGTCACCTGGACCCTTTGTCCAGCACAACTTAATGGTAATAGAACGAGGGCGAACATGTATTAAACTGCCACGTACGTGCATGAAACCACACACACAACCTCACACACACGTTATGAAACACACACACAACCTCACACACACGTTATGAAACACTCACACAACCTCACACACACGTTATGAAACACACACACAACCTCACACACACGTTATGAAACACTCACACAACCTCACACATACGTTATGAAACACACACAACCTCACACACACGTTATGAAACACACACAACCTCACACACACGTTATGAAACACACACACAGCCTCACAACACACGTTATGAAAACACACACACAACCACCCACACACCAACCTCACACACACGTTATGAAACACCACACACACAGCCTCACACACACGTTATGAAACACACACACACACACCTCACCACACACGTTATGAAACACACACACAGCCTCACACACACGTTATGAAACCACACACCACAACCTCACACACACACGTTATGAAACACACACACAACCTCACACACACGTTATGAAACACACACACAACCACACACACACAACCTCACACACACGTTATGAAACACACACACAACCTCACACACACGTTATGAAACACACACACAACCACACACACACAACCTCACACACACGTTATGAAACACACACAACCTCACACACACGTTATGAAACACACACACAACCTCACACACACTTTGCACATTTCAGCTGCAGACCCAGAGAAAACACGGTGGCATCGAGAGGGTGCACTGGAAAAATGCTGCTCCAAAAACAACTAAATAAATAATAACAACAAGGTGTTTTCTCTTTTCATAAGTGAACAGATCTGCCGATAGAACAAGTACAAAATGGCTTGGTGAGATTTCTTGAAGGAAAGATGGATAATTAGAGAAATTAGATCTTGTATTTAGCTGGAGAACTTATTTTGAACTATATTTGACCAGAATTAGGGAATCTTTTAACAAAAAAAGCCAGAAATGCTCAGACGCTTTCTGTTCTCTGATGTTAGTGGAGATATTTCTATAAAATAAGATGTTTTTAAGAGACTTTGACTCAAAAAGATGCTTCAGATGCCTCCTCTAAAAACAAGACTTAGGTTATTAAGTCTATATCAAGTGTAACGACATATTCTGACTAGAAATTAGACAAATATACTTGGCAAGATTTGACATTTTTGCAGTGTGTTTGGATGCTTCTTGCTGAAATGTTCATCGTCAGAGCGCTATTCATCAATCTAAGGGTCACATATGAAGTATATGGGAAACATGGGTTTGTATGAAGTGACTTAAGGGAAATATTATCATATTATTAATGTTGGTATGTTACGGCTGCTCTCTGCCCATTAACCTGTCTGTAAGTGTCTGCAGCTGTGTATTATATAAGTATATGAGCTGTGCCGTTGCCCAGACGCCATTGGATGACAGCTTCCTGTCCCTCCCCCGGTAGGCGTGACCGAAGATCTGGATTGGAGCATGCCGGGCCCGACTCTCCAATCCCCGCACACACCTTCCCAAGACAACTACAAGACCGTGTGCACCGCAGTTAGTCGACAGAGGTCTGAACCTGTGGTGTCTCTCTGTACTCCCTCCGTACATTCGGTGATGCAGACGTCTCTCTGCACTCCCTCCGTACATTCGGTGATGCAGACGTCTCTCTGCACTCCCTCCGTACATTCGGTGATGCAGACGTCTCTCTGCACTCCCTCCGTACATTCGGTGATGCAGACGTCTCTCTGTACTCCCTCCGTACATTCGGTGATGCAGACGTCTCTCTGTACTCCCTCCGTACATTCGGTGATGCAGACGTCTCTCTGTACTCCCTCCGTACATTCGGTGATGCAGACGTCTCTCTGCACTCCCTCTGTACATTCGGTGATGCAGACGTCTCTCTGTACTCCCTCCGTACATTCGGTGATGCAGACGTCTCTCTGTACTCCCTCCGTACATTCGGTGATAGCCCCGTTAACAATGGTTAACTTAGTTGTTTGTATATTTGTGCTTACACTTGTAACTGTTTATCCTAAGTACAACGTTAACTGTTGTTAACTTGTCTCCAGGCTGTGATTTGTAACAGCATATTTTTGTTAGACCAATTCCTTTTTCCCACTTTAGAAGTGAGGTTTTCTTTTGTTTCTTTGTTTGTTAGTTATTTAGCTTGTGTGCTAAACTGTTAAACTCTTATTTAAAGAGTCTTCCTTAGTTCCTTTGTTTGTTTGTTTAAACCGGTGCCTTTGCGGCCCTTTCCTTTGGGTTGTGGCCCTTTCCTTTGTGGCCCTTTCCTTTGGGTTGTGGCCCCTTCCTTTGGGTTGTGGCCCTTTCCTTTGGGTTGTGGCCCTTTCTCTTTGTGGCCCTTTCCTTTGGGTTGTGGCCCTTTCCTTGGGTTGTGGCCCTTTCCTTGTGGCCCTTTCCTTTGGGTTGCGGCCCTTTCCTTTGGGTTGTGGCCCTTTCCTTTGGTTGTGGCCCTTTCCTTTGTGGCCCTTTCCTTTGGGTTGTGGCCCTTTCCTTTGTGGCCCTTTCCTTTGGGTTGTGGCCCTTTCCTTTGGGTTGTGGCCCTTTCCTTTGCGGCCTTTTCCTTTGGGTTGTGGCCCTTTCCTTGTGGCCCTTTCCTTTGGGTTGTGGCCCTTTCCTTTGTGGCCCTTTCCTTTGGGTTGTGGCCCTTTCCTTTGGGTTGTGGCCCTTTCCTTTGTGGCCCTTCCTTTGGGTTGCGGCCTTTCCTTTTGTGGCCCTTTCCTTTGGGTTGTGGCCCTTTCCTTTGGGTTGCGGCCCTTCCTTTGTGGCCCTTTCCTTTGGTTGCGGCCCTTTCCTTTGGGTTGCGGCCTTTCCTTTTGCAGCCCTTTCCTTTGGGTTGGTGGCCCTTTCCTTTGGTTGTGGCCCTTTCCTTGTGGCCCTTTCCTTTGGTTGCGTCCCTTTCCTTTGCGGCCCTTTCCTTTGGGTTGCGGCCCTTTCCTTTGGTTGCGGCCCTTTCCTTTGGGTTGCGGCCCTTTCCTTGTGGCCCTTTCCTTTGGGTTGCCGGCCCTTGTTCCTTTGTGGCCCTTTCCTTTGTGGCCCTTCCTTTGGTTGCGGCCCTTTCCTTTGTGGCCCTTTCCTTTGCGGCCCTTTTCCTTTGTGGCCCTTTCCCTTGGGTTGTGGGCCCTTCCTTTGGGTTGTGGCCCTTTCCTTTGTGGCCCTTTCCTTTGGGTTGTGGCCCTTTCCTTTGTGGCCCTTTCCTTTGGGTTGCGTCCCTTTCCTTTGGGTTGTGGCCCTTTCCTTTGGTTTGTGGCCCTTTCCTTTGTGGCCCTTTCCTTTGGGTTGTGGCCCTCTCCTTTGGGTTGTGGCCCTTTCCTTTGTGGCCCTTTCCTTTGGGTTGTGGCCCTTTCCTTTGCGGCCCTTTCCTTTGGGTTGTGGCCCTTTCCTTTGGGTTGTGGCCCTTTCCTTTGTGGCCCT